CCTTTTTCCGCATTTATGCAGAAGCTTAGCTTTTCCACCTTTTCTTTGTGGGTTGTTGTTTCCCCCCCACACACACACACTTTTAATAGTACCGTTTATGATTTATTTAAAAATAGCTGCAGCTGTTTGTTTGCATTAGAAAGGGGGTGGGGGGAACACACCCAACAGCTTGTATTTGCAAAAGCAGCAAACGGGATGGGAGGAAAAAGCCAGCGTTGCTGAGCGATAGTTCAGAACGCCGTTTTCTGCTTCGGATTTTGCTTCCCTTAGGCAGAGCAGCCGGGGAGTTGGCATCAAGACACTCGGCAGAAATAGGTCATTGGGATTCGTGATGTACCCGATCAACCAGACGTTAGAATGTCGCTCGTGTATAGTGGTGGTGGGGGAGGGGGCTGGAACGAAAGCCCCGGGAAGATCTAATTAGCGGAGCATCTTATCCTTTCCAAGAAAGGAAAGCCTTCCCACATCACCTTTCGGCTTGTCTGGGTAGCGCTGCGCTGCCGACGTGATCAGGCGGGCGCACGCACGCGGGGATCGCGTTTGCATGCCACCGACAAAAGCCTTGGCACGATGGCTCCGAATCTGGTTCATGAGGATGCGAGGGCCAGTTGCTGTGAAGGAATCCTGGCTTGTTCCTTAGCCAGAAACCATGATACGAAAAGCATGCCTTGGTATTGGTCTGGAAACTGAATGAATATGAGCCAACAGTGTGATGCAGCTGCAAAAAAGTCTGATGCTATTTTAGGTTGCATTAACAGAAGTATAGTCTCCAAATCCCGTGAGTTACTATTTCCCCTCAGAAGTATAGTCTCCAAATCCTGTGAGTTATTATTTCCCCTTGATTCGGCACTGGTTAGGCCTCACCTTGAGTATTGTGTGTCCAGTTCTGGACATCACAGTTTAAGAAAGATGTTCAGTTCTGGACATCACAGTTTAAGAAGGATTGCTAACAAACTGGAGCAAATTCAGAGAAGGGCAACAAGGAGGATCTGAGGGGGCTGGAAACTAAGCCCTAGGAGGAAAGGGTGAAAGAACTGGGCATGTTTAGCCTTCAGGAAAGAAGACTGAGAGGGGAGAAAGAATAGCATTCTTTCAATGCTCTGGTTTTTTGGAAGGAAAAGCTCCCCCCTTGAGTCGTAAAGCACACACACACACCCCAGCCATACGCTTGAGACTTTTGAGGATCTGTTTTTGCTGGAGGGAGAGGGGGTGTGCAGAACTAGCTCTGAGGCCACATGGGGCCAAACGGCCACATGTTCCTTACTCTGGCTTAAACTATGGCTTGTCACAGTTTTAATGATTTAAGTCTCTCCTTCAATGGATGCCCCTGGGCTGTTTTGTTGACGTCCATCTAGGGATGAAGAAAAGACTCATGGTAGCTGTTCTGGTTTGGCTACATTTTTCCTCGGCATGGGTGGAGGGATGTCTCAATGACCTGCATAATCTTCTTATTATGGGCTGCCAGAGACAGGAAATGTGGCTTTAGCGTTGAACAAAGTGAGTCAGGTTGCTTTTCCTTATCACAGTCATAGCTCAGGCATAAGGCACTCTGGATTGTTTTTAAAAGGGACACGGATTTTGTTCCTGGCGTGCCCAGGTGGGAATGAACTGGGGTAGATGAACCGAAGGCGGCTTGCTTATTTCACTTCGTTTCTCCCATAAAGGGACTCACAGCAGTGCACAATAAATAACATACTGGTAAAGCTTCTTGAGAGTCCCCTGGAGCAGTGGTCCCCAACCTTGGGCCTCCAGATGTTCTTGGACTTCAACTCCCAGAAATCCTGGCCAGCAGAGGTGGTGGTGAAGGCTTCTGGGAGTTGTAGTCCAAGAACCTCTGGAGGCC